GCACCGACTCAAATGGGATTATAAAATACCGCTATGGCTGGATCTTGGTCATACCTTGTGGAATACAAATATAATGTCACTCGGGGGGTTTTTATACAAAGAGGTTCTTTTTACAGATGTGGGCAGATGGCAGCTGAAGACTTTGCAGACACTGTTGGACGAAGGGATTAATTTAACTTGGTTACAATATAATCAATTACAATTGAGATGGAAAGAGGACCAAAAAACTGGTATTATGTTGCATGAGGAAGAATTGGTTAGACATATAAGAGAGAAAGGTCCAATGCATATCAAAAGGCTTTATAATGTTTTGCTAGAAAGGGACTCAGAAACTGAATTAGTTAAAGACTGTATGATTAAGTGGGCACAAAATTTTGAAGAACCAGTGATGTTGGAAACATGGGAAAAAATTTGGGTCCAGAATGTTAAATTTACACAGTCGCAGAATTTGAGGGAAAATTTTTACAAAATGTTTTATAGATGGCATCTAGACCCTAAGAAACTGTCGTGTATGTACCCTAATGTTCAGCCAAAATGTTGGAGGTGTGATTGTACAGACGCTACATATTATCATATTTGGTGGACCTGTAAGAAAGTTAAGGCTTTTTGGATAAAAATTTGGTGGGTCATGCAGAATGTTTTGAAGAAAAAAATTCAATTTTCTCCACAATTGTTTCTATTGGGTATAGCTAAGGGTTTTACAGTGGACGAAACAAAGTTGATTTTGTATATGATTACAGCAGCGAGATTGTTGATAGGTAAATATTGGAAAAATGAAGCTTTGCCTACCGTTCAAGAATGGATTTTGAAGATGGCCGGTTTCGCTGAGATGGCGAAGATTTCAGCATATTTAAAAGACCGCTCACAAGAGACTTATGAATGTGAATGGAAAAAATGGATAGATTATGTGCAGAACAAATATCAAACTAGGAAGTATCAAATAGCTTTTTATTGATAGTATTATATTACATTAAGATAGAAATATTTGAACTATGTGAAGATGAAAAATGATATGGGGGATGGGGGGGTTTAAAGCTCAAGGTTTTTTTTTATATATAAAGGGGACAATGATGGGGTATACTCTATGGAAGTCCGGGGGGGAGGGGAGGGTTAGGGGGGGTTAGGGAGGGTGGGCTGGGGAGTTTGGGGTGGGTTAGGGGGGTGAAAATGGGGTGAAAATGTAATTGTAAAACTTTTACAATAAAAAAAAAAGAAAAGAAAAAGTGCCAGTTTTTTTTTATTTTTCCAAGAAAATAATCCTTCCAAAGCAGTCAATAGTTACTATAATCCATTAACTATTGGATTTTCCTCTTTTTGTTTATTTTGTGAAAGTCTTTTGCCCAGATAGTTTACAGCCGCTAATTGGGGCTAAGGCTCACTTGTTATAAATCTGCACTTAAAAGCTACTCCTGCCTGGGTTGAATCTCACTCACCCAGCATTTGAGTACCTAGCTCTGTTCTCTGTTTCTTCCTCCTGCACATTGCTTTTTCTGGCTGTCACAGCTTTGGGGCAGCCGCCATGGCTGCTGCTGAGCTGCCGCCGACACAGAGGGCAATCCTCTGGCCCCGAGGAACCTGCCCATTCCTCTCAGCTGTCTGAGGGGTCCCTCTCTTTCCCCCTGTCCCTACGGGACAGGGGAGGTCCACAGACCTGCCGGCGGTGGTTTAGCAGTTGCGGTTTTCGCAGGGCTCCTAAGAGCCCCGCTATTTCCCCATCTGGTCCGCTGTGACACCAACCAGAAGTCCTGGAAGCATATATTACTCTTATACCAAAAGAAGACTCAGATTTAATGCAGATTTAACAGATTAACAGAGTTAGAAGGGTCCTTGCAGGTCATCTAGTCCAACCCCCTGCTGAAGCAGGAGACCCTACATCTGCCTCTACCTAGGATCGAACTCACAACCTCCTGATTGTGAGGCAAGAGCTCCACCTCTATATCCTTACTGAATGCTGAATTATATAATATACGCCTCAATAATAGCAGAGAGATTAAAAAGGGGTTTGAATGAATTTATACATTCAGCTCAGAATGGATTTCTGCCTAAGAGATAGATTAAAAATAATATGAAAATGACCTTAAATACACTGGAGTATTATAAAGCACACCCTGGAAAACAAATGGCATTGATTTTCCTAGACATGCAGAAAGCATTTGATAAAGTAAACTGGCAATTTATGTTATTACAATTAAAAACTATGGATTTTGGGGAGAGATTTATCAATATGATTAAGGCAATATATCACAAGCAAACAGCAAAGGTGATTTTAAATGGAGATATGACCAAGAATTTTAATATAAAAAAGGCACAAGACAAGGATGTCCACTATCTCCTCTACTATTTATATTGACTTTGGAAGTGTTAAATGGAAATATTAGACAAGACAGAGAAATAAAAAGTATGGAAATAAAAAAAGAAAAATGTAAGCTACAGGCGTTTGCAAATGATTTGGTTTTTATTTTGGAAGATCCACAAGAAACAGGATCCAAATTAATTAAAAAATAGAAAAAGATGGTGAAGTTGCAGGACTGAAAATAAACAAAGAAAAAACTAAGATTTTGGTCAAAAACCTTACAGATACACAGAAAAAAGAGTTAATGAAGAGAATAGATATTCAGATAGTTAAGAAAGTAAAATATTTAGGAATTCAGTTAATGGCAAGATGTGTAACTATTAAAGAAGATAATTACTATAAACTGATGCAACAAATTAAAATAGACTTGGAGAAGTGGAAAAACCTGCAACTGTCACTGATAGGAAGAATAGCTACTATAAAAATGAATATTCTGCCGAGACTACTATATTTATTTCAAACAACTCCAATAAGTTGTATTATCAGGCCTCAATACTTACTTGGGTGAAAGAATGGATTGGTTTGAGGCATAAAAGATTATTGACTTTGGAGGGACATGATCTTCAACTGGGTTGGCATGCCTTTTTATCGTATGGGCAAAACAAAATACATGGTTATTTTGAAAGACATTACATTAGAAATGCATTATTATTAGTATGGGAGAAAATCAAACAACAACATTATTTGAAAATACTAGTCTGTCTCTCCACAATGGAGGCACTGATCCAGCCAAACTTTATTAATCTGGGAAATATTACTAGATACAAAGATATTTTGAATGAAAATGGGGAGCTCAAAACTAAACAGGAATGGAATGGTCAAGGGATTGATATAGCATGGTGTCCACAAGTGCAATCTAGATATGAGAAAGATCCTAAAATGTATGGTTTTTATAAAGAATTAACAAAACTAGATCAGATACTAACAGGGACAGATGAAAAACTAATAAGGAAAACATATAGTTATCTATTAAGTATTAAAATGGAAGATGAACAAGTAAAGGAGACAATGATAGTATGGGCAAAAAACTTTGGATATACAATAGAGTTAGATAACTGGCAGAAATTATGGGATAGGAATTACAAATTAACGATGTCAACTGCATATAAAGAAAACTTATATAAAATGTTTTATAGATGGCACTTCTTGCCCTCAAGGTTGGCAAAGATGTTTAAGGATATGTCAAATGTTGGAAATGCCACAAATACCTGGTTCATACTATCATATGTGGTGGACATGCCCAAAAGCAAAAAAATATTGGACAAAAATACATACATGGTTGGAAAAGAATGATAAAGCAAAATATTGATTTAAAACCAGAAATATTTTTGTTGGGTACTCTACCCAACAATTATAATAAGGGGAATACATATTTGATCCTATATGTATTAACTGCAGCCAGAATTGTATTTGCACAATAATGGAAAAGTGAAAAGATCCCTACAGATGAAAATGTGATTAAAAACATATTAGAATGTGCAGAAATGAATAAATTAACACTAGCAATTAAGGAAATTGTCAGTGGAAGACCCCCCCAAAAAATAAGATCTGGTGCTTTTTTTTGTGGCAAAAAAATAAATAAATAAGACCGGGTCTTATTTTTGGGGAAACACAATAGAAGGTAAGGTCAATGGTGGAGGAGGGAAATCCACCCTGGACTTGCTGTGCTCGGCTGAAGGGCTGTCTCATGGGGGTGGAAATGGTGAGGCTCAGCTGCCTTTCATGCCTTCCTCTCGGCTTCTGCAGGGCCTCTGGGCGCCTGCTGCCCACATCCCCTCCCCTCTTCCTCAGGCCCCGTATCTAGCCCACAACCAGGGGATGCACCGCTTTTGGGATAGTCCAGCCAGCGGGTGGATGAGCAGGCAGCCTTCAGCGGAGAGCATGCTGGGGCGGTGTGTGCCTGGATCAGGCACTTTATCTTCATGGTCTTCACAGTCTTCATCCGCACCCTCCTGGGGCCCTAGTCTCAACACCGATTTGAGCATGGACTGATAAGAGCTGAGGCTGGTGGCACCAAGGCAGCCCTTGCCTCCTACCACTTCGGGCTCACAGTTCTAAGCTGCGTCCAGGAAGCACTGCAGTGGAGAGAAGCAGCCAGGGTCAACGGTCTGTCCATTGCAGCTTGGAATCTCAAATAAGGCTGAGAATGAATGTTGTGTTGTAGCCAGCCTGGACACTAGATCACCACCCTGTGAACTCCTAATCTCTCAAGAAACCCAGCCGAGGTCTTACTTATTGATCGCTGAGGCACCTGGACTCCCAGTAATAGGATGGGGTCCTTCAGGCACTTAATGTGGCTGCCTGTAGCTCCAGACCTTCCTCCATCACTGGGAGACCAGGCATTTCAATGAGCAGCAAATGAGGGCCAGCCTCCTTGACAGATGAGGATTTAAAACCAGGGGGCTTATCTAGAGCCCGGGGCAGCTACAACACAAACATTCATTCTTGGCCTTATTTGAGATTCCTAGCTGCAATGGAAAGCAAAGCTAGGGTTGACATCTCCCTGTGTCGATCCAGCAGACGAAACAGGAAAAGGGGGCAGAGAGAAACAGTCCAGTTGCCAAGGTCTAGTTGCCCGGGTGGAGCCCAAGGCGGAGGGGCTTGTTTGGGCCCTGGGCTGGAGCAGCGAGGAGGTAACAGCGATGACATGAAGGGAAGCCACGTGACTGGAGGCCTGGCTGCCACAGCCTTCAAGAAAATCACCCTCTTTGGCACCACTGGCATGATGGGTCTGGCCACCCTGGTGCAAGTCCTGGAAGCAAGTGAGGCAGGCAGGGGGCATCAGCCTGGGGGGCAGAACAAACAGAAGACCTGCGAAGGGATACACTGTCCCCCTGGCTTTGAAAGGATGTGCTCAGGACGCGGCTGCTTCCCCAGAGAAATGGTGCAATGGCTGACAATTTTTTTTTTGGGGGGGCAGTACTGCAGGATCAGCTCCTTGCATTGTGGCTGCTGCAATGAATATGAGAAGCCCAGACAATGTTTTGAGCACAGATAACATCTTCAGCCCAATGAACTTAGGCCCCCCTGTTATCATAGCAAGCCCTTTGTCCATGACTTGTCCGTTAACACTCACCACACCTGCCAACTCCAGTTACTGCTCCAGTAAACATCGCACATCCAGCCACTATCACCTCACCAATGAATCTCCCCACACCAATGACATTAGCTGGCCCTTTAAATCTAGCCATGAGACCTGTGGAAAGCATGCCTTTCCTTCCCCAGGCATTGCCGACCTCTCCCCCCAATTAAAAAAAAAACCTAGGGCAAAAATCTTCAAAAGAAGATTTGAAAAGGGGGCTGCTGTGTATTGTTTAATGGACTACTAAATTGACAAAATGGACTGCTAAATTGGCCACACCCACCCAGTCACATGACCACCTAGCCACACCCACCCAGTCGGTCATTAGTCAAATCAAACTATAGTCCAGCCCTCTGAGGGACCTGTGAACTGGCCCCCTGTTTAAAAAGTTTGAGGATCCCTGATGTATATAAATGCCTACACTCATTTACATATTTATATATACTCGTATCTTGTTTTTCATTCTTTGTCTCCTGGCTTATTCCTCCCTCCCTCCAGAGGCCCTCACATGATCTTTACACAGACGACTGTCTAACCATCATTATGGAATTAGGCGATTTGTCTGTTCCAAATCTCATGGGACACTATGGAAAAATGAGGAACTGACCCTGAAGGATATTGTTAATATTCACCATGAAATACATGCTCAAAAATCCCTATGAGTTGATTTGACACTATGCTGCAATTTCTACTTTTGTCTGAAAAACAGATGAAAAAGTTAGTCCAGTATGATCTCCTAGAAGGATCTTGTTGCTGTCATTTACACACAGAAAGAGGACAATTATGGAAGCTGTTTGCAATCATCGAGTTGCTGTTAACAGTATTGCCTCAAGTGGTGTGCAAGCATCGTAGCCTTCAATGTCATCTTGATGAGCCTCTTCCTATTCATCACACCTATCATCAGCTTGGAGATGTTAACATTGCTGGCATTATTTCTGTATGCTTGATATTTTCTGACCCCATTGATTTCAGTCAACATCCTTCTCAGGGACTTCAAGATGGACTTATGTATGTACATTATCAATTTATTTTCAAGTTCTGGTCATTGCTCAAAATATTTTTCAGTAATCTTAAATGGGCTGCCTAGGTGTATTTATATCTAAACTTCAGCTTCCACATAAAGTTGAAAAAAGGCCAAATTTCTTTTTCAACAAATCATATGTAACAAGCATTAAATGTAAATATTTTTCAGAGTTTCCCAAAACAACTCAAGAATCTTGGGAAACTCTGAAAAATATGATTATAAAAGTCCAAACCAGCACAATATCAATGAGAAAGAAAAACAAGAAATCCAAGAAGAAACCGGCATGGCTGCACAAAGATCTCTTTGACAAATTGAAAGACAAAATGGACAAGTACAAAAAATGGAAAGAGGGACACACAACTAAGGCAGAATATCAGCAGATAGCCAGAATCTGTAAAGACGAAGTCAGAAAAGCAAAGGCTCAGAATGAACAAAGACTCGCAGCAAAAGTCAAAGACAATAAAACAAGTTTCTTCCAACATAACTTATAAATAACAAGAAAAAAAAAATCAAGGAAACAGTTGGTCCACTAAAGAGAGAGGATGGCTTCGAACAAGTCGATGGGATGTTAATAGGGGGAGTCCCAGCTACACTAGTCACCGAACCAGTGAGATTGGAAATGGGAAGTAGGAAGCAACAGGCAACAGTGAGAAAGCAGAGCTGCTTAACTCATTCTTTGCATTGGTCTTCATGCAAAAAGAAACTATAGCCCAACCTACCAAAAACATAACTGTAAAAGATAGACTAGAAATAAAAGTTAAAATAAGGAGAGAGAGGGGGGGGGAACACCTGTCTAATTTTGATGAATACAAATCACCAGGACCTGACGGATTGCATCCCAGAGTTCTAAAGGAGTTGACAGATGTCATCTTAAAACCACTGCACCACATCTTTCAATAATCCTGGAGCACTGGGGAACTACCAGAGGACTGGAAAAGAGCTGATGTGGTTCTCATCTTCAAAAAAGGGAAAAAAACAGACCAATCAGCCTAACATCAATACCCAGGAAGATACTGGAAAAGATAATCTGCCAACATCTACCATGTTTCCCCGAAAATAAGTCCTTCCCAAAATATTTACGCACATGCACAGCTAGTCCCCACTATTTCATCTGGTTAGTGTTAGGGAGATAGAGCTGGAAACCAGGTAAGATGGCAAGAGGAGCCCCGTCTTGCTCCACACACCCCAAAATAATAAGACCTCCCTGAAAATAACGCCAAGCAATTATTTCAGGTGCAAAAAATATAAGACAGGGTCTTATTTTCTGGGAAACACAGTAGAAACAAGTAAAATAATAACTAGCAGTCAGCACGGGTTTGTTAAAAACAGATCATGCCAAACCAATCTTATTTCATTCTTCAACATAGTGACTAAATTAGTAGACCAGCGAAATACTGTGGACATACTATACTTATTTATTTTATTTTTTATTTATTTTATTTGATTTTTATACCGCCCTTTTCCAACAGGACTCAGGGCGGTGAACAGCCGAGATAAAACATAACATATAAAATTTAAAAAACAGTTTAAAAGACATTAAATAATTTCGGCCCTCAATTTAAAACAACCCAGTTAAAACCAATTTCAAATTAAAACCAAAAGGATGGGATCAAGCCAGCCTGGCTAGATGAAATAGATGAGTTTTCAGGGCCCGACGAAAAGTCTGGAGGTCAGGTATCGTGCGTATCTACTTATACTTCAGCAAAGCATTTGACAAAGTAGACCACAACCTACTTCTTGGTAAACTAGGAAAAAGTGGGATAGATAGCATCATCACCAGATGGATTCGTAACTGGCTGACAAAAGTGAGTTTTGCCCCATTTTACAATCTTTCTTGCCAATGTTCTTAAGTGAATCCCTGCAGTCATTAACTTAGTGAAACGGTTGTTAAGTGAATCTGGCTTCTGCATTGACTTTATTTGTCAGTAGGTCACAAAAGGTGATAACATGCTCTTGTAACACTGCAACTATCATAAATGTGAGTTAGTTGCTAAGTGTCTGAATTTTGATCACAAGGATGCAGCAAAGGTCATAGGTCTGAAAAATGTTCATAAATCACTTTTTCAGTGCTGTTGTAACTTTGAAAGGTCACTAAATGAACTGTTGTAAATTAAGTAGATTGCACTAAAAGCATATTCCACAAAATGTTGTACTGAAAGATCACAAGTGTCATAATGTGAAGCAGAGTTTTCTTAATGTATTTATTTTTAATGTTTTATAGAATAGTTTTTCAGAATTATCAGCATATCCTGGCCTTAGCGTTTTCTCTCAAAGAGATCAATGAAAATCCTGAGATCCTACCCAACATCACTCTGGGCTTCCACATTTTTAACAGCAATTTTAGTCCCAGATGGACTTACTTTGCCTCAATGTTGCTACCTTTCACTCAGGGAAAATTCATCCCTAACTACAAGTGTGGCCTCCCTCAAAATTTGGCTGCAGTTATTGGGGCACCTGACATTGCTTTTCACATGGCAACTGTATTGTGCATCTACAAAGTTCCTCAGGTAAGATGTACTGAAGATATACATTATCATTCTGTCATAGATCCCCAGTTTTCTCTCTCTCAAAAGGAGAACAAAATTCAGATTCCTAGATATATTTTTTTGGCTTGATAGGATCAGCAGAGTTGCATGAGTAATGAGAAAATCTGAATAGACAGTGGGGGTATTACTTCCAGGAAAAGATATTTACTGATAGCTTAAGAGTGACATTGTGGTTGATATTCCTAACTAAACACAACTAGCTGCATAATGTTTCAGTATATAAGAATAAAGTTACCCAAATAAATGTACACATTTCCAGAGGCTCACATAGACCTTTGAAATTGCATACGTTTATCTTTCTGTAGTTGACCTATGGCTCTGCTCCAGTCATGGATAAAGAGACTCAATCAATTTTCCTTCAACAAATGTTTCCAAATGAATCGCATGAAGATAAGGGTCTCCTGAAACTATTGTTGTATTTTAGATGGATCTGGATTGGAATTCTTGTGGTAAATGATGACAAAGGAGAAAGATTTGTACAAGAGGTGCTCCCTATATTTTCTGAACATGGCATCTGCATTGAATTCATAGCAGAGTTCCCAATCTTAACTTTTTACAGTGATTTTACTGATATAATAGACAAAGAACGATATATATACCAAGTTCTCATGAACAGCACAGCCAATGTGGTAATCTTGTATGGTGAAAGTCGCTCCATGTCAATTCTAAGAAGTTTCCTCCAGTTTTCAGAAATGGAGGATATACCAAGAAAGACAAAAATTTTGATTACATCCACTCAGACAGATTATACTTCAATTTCCTTTGATAAATCTTTGGACATCCATATCCTACATGGTGTTTTATCCTTTGCAGTTCACACAAAGGAGGTCCAAAACTTCCAGGATTTTTTTCAAAACCTAAATCCAAACAACAACCAACATGATCATTTTCGGAAAGATTTTTGGGAACAGGCATTCGAATGTTTCTTCTCAAATTCAAAAACTGAGACATCTGAGAAGAAATGTACTGGACAGGAGAGGCTTGAGACCCTTCCCACATCTGTGTTTGAAACACGCATGAGTGGACAGAGTTACAATATTTACAATGCAGTCCATGTTGTGGCACATGCTTTGCAATCTCTCTCTCTATCCAAATCCAGGGGAAAAACAACAGTGAAAGAAGGAATGAAATATTTCCACAATCATATGTGGTGGCAGGTAAGCCTGCTATTGGAGTAACCACCAAATCTGTAGTTGCAACATCTCTCCATAAGCTCTAACACATAATATCCTCTAGGACTTTTGACATTTGGTCTAAAGGTGAAATGCACTAATGGCTTAACCAGCTGAAGTATTTATGTGTTCATATTAAAATGGCAAAAGTTATTGTATAAAATGATAACCACTTGCCACAACCAGAACCATGAAGAACTCTGCTATTAGGTCAGTCTCTAAGTAAAGAGTAGAAAGTGATATTTTGCCTTAATGTGATGTACTGAAGCAGTTATTCCTTCTAGATGGGTTTTTATTGGCGGCCGGGGGGGGATGTATGCATTTAGCCAGTTCTTTGATTGTTGAAAGTTCAATCCCACCCACAGTTTAGAGCATTTCCTGTTGAAGATATTTCCAAAGAAACCATGAGTGGACTTTGAAGAACTGATAATAATAATTGCATCCAGTTTTAATCACCACAATATAAAAAATGCTGTTGAGACTCTAGAAAAAGTGCAGAATAAGATTAGGGGACTGGAGTCTAAAACATATGTTTTAAAAAAGTTGCAGGAATTGGATATGCCTAGTTTAATGAAAAGAAGGATTGGGGTGATAGCAGCATTCTAACATTTAAGAAGCTGCCACTTGTCTAGGCCACCATAACCTCATATATCTTAGGATCATTACTGCCTCTTTTGAAAAGTAACATATATATAGTAAATGTGAAGACATTACATTTTGTCTTACTATTCTCTTGCTTTTGTACTTATGGATTTTAACTGCAATAACTCTAATCATAGATAATCTTTTCTTAGTATTTTATTGTGCAATCCTATGTTAATACATTTTAATTGTTTTTCAGTGGTGTCATATTTTATATGTTCTCCCTTTTGGAATCCATTGTTATGTTTTGAACATATATTATTGCCTCCTTCTGTCTTTCTTTGTGTCTCTTTGACTGTCTCTATATTTCAGGTTCATTCTTTTCTGAGAAGTGTCAGATTCAACAACAGTGTTGGTGAAAAGATCTCCTTTGATAAAAATGGTGAACTCATTGGTGGATATGATATCATCAACTGGATCACATTCCCAAACAAATCCTTTGTTAGAGTCAAAGTTGGAGTGATAGATCCCACAGCTCCACCAGAGAAGTTCTTCAATATTTCTGTAGATTCCATCACGTGGCCAGTAGGCTTTAATCAGGTTAGCTGTTTAAATCTAAATTAGTCTGTCTTCATTCAGGTAGCATAAAATATATATTGATGATTGTTCCAGAGCATCATCTCTGAACTAACCTAAGAACAAATGTCCTGCAGAAGGAAAAAATATCTATAAGAATGTTTACTTTTCTAATACTTGGTATAGAATATTGTATCCTTTACTTTGTGCTCTCTGCACCCTGTGAATTATAGACTAATAATTTTAGTTTTAGTTTTAGACTATAGTTTTCATAGTTTTGATGTAAAAGCTTTAATACAGTGTATTACATTTCATCAGATCATAATTCAGAAGTTGAGAAAACTAACTTTAACTGACCAGCATAGAAAATGCCTTTGGAGGGAAGGGAGGATGGTGTCAGCCCTGGATCCATCTTTAGACAGAATTAACAGGGTTGCCACAGTGAGGGATGGGTGAGCTGTGGGAACAGGAACGTAGAGAAGGGAGTAATCACAACATTATTTCACATGAGATCAAGCATGGGTTGCTGTAGGGTAGTGATTGAAGTTTGGCAGCAGCTGAGGCAGGAGATTGATTGGGTCATATGATGTGAATGTAACAGGGCAGGGTGTGAGCTTTAGTGTGGGTGGGGGGAAATGCGGGATTTTAGATTTGGATTTTTTCAAGATGTGCCAACATGATTTTTCTAATAAATTCTTATTTCGATGGACTTCGTCTTGGAATTCTGAATTCCAATGAGGAACTCCATTGGAATTCAATTTGGAATGCTGACAGATGGTTTGGGGAAATGCCAATAATTGTAGATATTTAATTAATTATAATTTCACAACAAATACAACTAAAATGATGTCATGACATCACTTGTGGTAATCAATTCATTTTTATTATGTTAATTCTATTTAACAGTATCACTCCAAGCATTTATTTCACTTCTGTATCTTAAAACATTCTTTTTCATTCAATGATAGGCATTACCTTTATCTTTGTGTAATGATCCTTGTGAGACAGGACACTGCAAGGCCAAGAAAGAAGGAAAGTTATTTTGCTGCTATGATTGCTATCTGTGCCCAGAAGGGAAAATATCAAAGGAGAAAGGTAGGAAATTTCCAACTATAATGGGAGTAAGACATTGAGATAAAACACTGTCTATAATCAACCCTATAAATTCCACTGTGTTCTTTTTTAGATATGGATGACTGCTCCCCATGTCCTGTAGATCAATATCCAAATCCTGACAAAAATATGTGTATTCCAAAGCGGATCACCTTTTTGTCCTATGAAGAAACTTTGGGGATCAGTCTGACTGTTCTTTCCCTTTGTTTTTCTTTAATGACTACTTTCATCATCACAGTATTCATGAAACACAAAGACACTCCCATCGTCAAAGCCAACAACCAAAATCTCACTTATATACTCCTAGTTTCCCTCCTCCTCTCTTTCCTTTGTGTCTTTCTATTTGTTGGCAGACCAGATAAGATTTTGTGTCTCCTTCGACAACCAACTTTTGGTCTCATCTTTTCTGTAGCAATTTCTTGTGTATTGGCCAAAACCTTTGTTGTAGTTCTAGCATTCATGGCCACCAAACCTGGTTCCAAATTGAGGAAATGGGTGGGTGGAAGAATGGTCAACTACATTATTATTTTCTGCTCCTTTGTTCAAATATGTGTTTGTGCTGTGTGGCTGATAATATCCCCACCATATCCAGATTTTGATATGCAGTCAATGTCTGAAGAAGTCATCCTGGAGTGTAATGAAGACTCAGTCATGTTCTGCTGTGTTTTGGGCTTTATGGGTTTTCTTGCTCTGGTTAGCTTCTCTGCTGCTTTTCTAGCTAGGAAGTTACCTGACAGTTTCAATGAAGCCAAATTCATCACCTTCAGCATGTTGGTCTTCTGCAGTGTTTGGCTGTGCTTTATTCCAACCTATCTAAGCACTAGGGGAAAATATATGTTGGCTGTGGAGATCTTCTCCATGATCTCCTCCAGTGCTGGATTATTGGTGTGCATCTTTCTTCCCAAGTGTTTTATCATTGTGATGAGACCTGAACTGAACAATAAACATCAGCTCATGAAAAGAAAGTTTTAATTAAAAAAATGTATATGTATTTCTAGGAGAATTTTCCAATTTTGAAGTCTGTGATCAGTTTACAATTTTATTTAGCTGAAATGGACTTGCTTCCATACTTCAAAATGGGAGGCAAAATTCAAAAATCTGAATGATGCAACTATTACTACCACTCTTTTTAGATCTATGCTTTATTGTATTTATTTTTAATAAATCTACGGTTTATTTTCTTTAATTATCATTTGGAATGTGAGCCACCTAAAAAATTCATGGCCTCTATGTCTTAAATTATTGAATGGCCAATTTATACGAGAAGTGCCAGGGTAGGCCTGTTTTTTTTTTTTTTTTTTTAGGAGGATGAGATGTAATCTGCCATTGAAGGAAGATGCAAAGTGAGTCTCAATGGACATGGGTTAAAAACCACCTTAAGGAATACCAATGTCTTGATATGGGTGGCAAAAGTTTAATATTTTTTCACTTTTATTGCCATTCCATCCAGCAGTTCTGGTTAGGACAGAACTAGTCTGTAGTGGCTAAGGAGTTAGAAGAGCCTAGAGCATGATTTGGGGATGTGATCTGAGATGAGCTTTTCTATTAAGATATTCTTTGAAAGGACTTGATCCTCCTGCAAATGCTGAACCAAAACCTTGATCGGTGGACTACTGTTTTGGTCTCTTTGTTTACTAATATTAAAAACTCATTGCAAATCTCAAAGGAATTTGATCAATTCTATTCTAAGTGCCAAAAAAGTCTACAAAACCAATCCAGCTTCAATCCAGCTAACAACTATCCTATCAGCTGATTATGTGTATAGGTAGTCCTTGACTTACAATAGTTCATTTAGTGACGGTTCGAAATAACAATGGCACTGAAAAAAAGTCATATAATTGTTTTTCACACTTATGACCCATGGTCACATGATCAAAATTCAGATGCTTGGCAACTGGCTCATATTTATCACAGTTGCTGTGTCCTGGGGTCATGTGATCAGCTTTTGCAAACCTATGGCAAGCAAAGTCAACAGGGAAGCCAGATTCACTTAACAACTGTGCTCCTAACTCAACAATTGCAATGATTCAGTTAACAAATGCCACAAGAAAGACCATTAAACAGGGCAAAATTCACTTAACAAATGTTTCACATAGCAACATAAATTTTGGGTTCAATTGTGGTCCTTAGTCAACGGCTACTGTAATTATGGTAAATGTCTTTTTTATTGGTTTGCTGATTGGAAAGGATCTTAATGATGGAACAAACCTGGTAAAGGCCAGGTCTTTCTACTGTGAGTCACTACATCACTGCACCACCTGCCTGCAAATTTACTAACCCTCCTGGAGGAGGCCTCTGTACTGCTTTGATAATCTGAAATTGGTATTTGATTGCTTCCTTCATTGACCATTGGATCCTAAAATAATTACCATATTTTTTGGAGTATAAGACGCACCGGAGTATAAGACGCACCTACCTTTTTTGGTTGTTTTTTTTTTTTTTTAGACAAACACACATACAAACATACAATGTATTTTCTTTGAACAGAGTATTTGGCTGGTTCACAAATTTAAACAGTGTTTAGTCATTTCAATTAAATTTACAATTTCTATATTTCCTTTTTGCCATATTTATTCCTCATCTATCTTTTTTAAAAAAAAACAATATTACCCTTCATACTCATCTCTAATCTTAATCAAATTTAATTTTTCCCTTCTATTCTATATTATATCCCTTCCCATTGTCTTCTATTTTTATATCCTTCCTCACATTGGTTAATTATGTAATATTACAATTGTTTAATACAAATTCAACATTTTTATATAAATCAATTAGTTATATAACTATCTTTTTTGTACAGTATATTAATCAATATGAACATGAATATTCCAATTATTTCCATGCAATCCAATTTCTTACAAATCAATTAATTATTGGTAAATATAATAATCAATAATAATATAATCAATATAATAATCAATATAATAATAATAAACCAAATAATTTTCCCCATATATTCTTCCAAACCACAATTTAACCATTTCTGCTTTCAATACAATATACAATTAATAGTATCTCAATTATTACAATTCCCTAGTTAAATAGACTTTTCCCTTTATGTTACTCATTTTCACATCTTAAACTCTCCCAATAATCTAAAGTTTTGCCCATATAGAAAAATATTCAAATTATTATTTATTTCATTTTTACAATCATGATTTCCCATTTATTTCTTACTACTATTCATATTTCAATTCTAAATATGTATAATATCTTTCTCTTTCATTTCTTTTTTTTTCTCTCTTCCTATTTTTATTTTTGCCTTTTTTCTTTTGTGTTTTAAAATCTTGAAGTCTCCTCTTTTGCTCTAAATTTCCCATTGTTTGCACCTATCTTTTTTGGTGAGGAAAAAGAAAAAGAAATCTCCCTCTGCCTCATTTTGCCACGTTACAGCAAACAGCCTGCTTTACTTTCAGTTTCATTTTTCAGCATAGCTTGATTAGCACAAGGGTAAAAAAAATCTGCTCCAGCACTCTTTGCAGCAAGCAGTAGAGCCGTTCACAAAACAGCTGAGAGTAAATCAGCTGAGAGTCGGAAGGCCGATCTAATCAACTTGTGCTAATTAGCCTATGCTGAAGCTGAAAGGAGCTGTTTTTTCTTGCTGTTTGCTTGCAAGGAGGTAACTGCTTCAAGGCACAGGCCAAAGGATAGGGGCCAGTGGGTGGGCAGGGCTACATTCAGTGTATAAGATGCACCTAAATTTTCATCCCCTTTTGGGGGGTAAAAACGTGCGTCTTATACTCCAAAAAATACAGTAGTTAGGATCTTGTATGCAGAGACTACAAAGAGGTCCGATGCTCAATTGGTAGAGGACTTGTTGACTCCCTTCCATCTTCTAAATCAGTTAGACAAAGATTATTTAATTTTTTAAATTAATAGTATGGTTCAAGGCCTTACCAAACCTGATTTTTGTCCTTTGTTCTGGGGCAAATAAACCAATTCCCATTTTGCTATAGTTTTACCAGACTGTCTTTTGTCTGTTTTAAAATTCAGCCTTTGTGAATTGGCACCCTACTACCAATCTGAAACATGATAATGCAACCAAACTGTATGCTAAACATCCCCATTTCTGGAAGATCCATAGCTACCAAACTGAGCGAATCTAGGATTTTAAACATCTTGATATTTATTTCCAGTCATCATCCTCTTTGAAACTCCATTCTTCAGATCTTTCCTTGTGAGCCCGAACTGCCTCTGATAGAATCATAAGATATTTATTTCATAAGAAGAACTATAGGTAGTCTTCAACTTACAACCACAATTAAGCCAAACATTTTTGTTGCTAAATGAATTGGCACCTGACTACTGAGCTGAAACTCTAGTATGGAACCACATAAAAACCAAACAGCATGCTAAACATCCCCATTTCTGGAAGATCCATAATTACCAAACTGAGTGAATCTAGGATTTTAAATATCTTAGCATTTATTTCTGGTCATCATCTTCTCTGAAATTCCATTCTTTATATCTTTCTTTATATCAAACAGCTTCTGATGGAACATTAGATATTTGATTCAAAAGGGGAAGAACCAGTGGTGGGTTGCCTCCAGTTCGGACCGGTTCTTGCAAACTGGTAGTAATGGTGGTGGGAGGCTCTGACTGTGAGGGTTCCAAGGAACACCCCCAATAAAATAAAGCTCTGAGGCCTGAGGTTCCTCAAAGTTCCAATTTATTAGAGATGTCGTGTTGGCACATCTGGGAAAACCTGAATCTGAAAGCTTCCAGGTTTCCCCCACCCAGCTAAGAGTTCACAGCCCTGCCCCACACCCACAAGTTCATCACATTGTCCAATCAACTCTTCACACTCCACCAGATACAGTCTTCATATAGTCTGCATCAGACGCCGGCAAAAGTCCTTGAGTATGGAATGTAGTTATGACTTACTTTCTACCGCTCCAACAACAACCCCCTCCCAGCCTTGGTATTCTCCCAGTCTTTCTTTAATGACTCCATCCATTCATTCAGAGTCATGGAAGAAGGCTGTTCTCTCGGCAGTTCTGGCATAGGGATGAATTCCATGCCGCTTGTAATCTGAAAAGGCGTCAGTCCCATACTACTATGCACTGCCACCTCTGCAAAAGGAAGCAAGTCAGCCCAATTATCTTGCTGGTAATTTACATAACATCTGATGTACTGTTTCACCATGGCATTAGCACATTCCACAGCTCCGTTCATACTTGGATGGAAAGCCGAACTAAGCCCCTGAGATGACCCAATGGACCTCAGGAACTCCCTCCAGAACTTAGCGGTAAACTGAACTCCTCGATTGGAGATCACTCATCATGGAACTCCATGCAGCCGGTAGATCGGTTTGACAAACATCTTGGCTAATCTCTTAGCCGAGGAAGTCCAGAACAAGGAATAAAATGGGCTTGTTTGGAGAACAGGTCTATCACAGTCCATATTACAATATTTCCACCACTTTCCGGGAGCTCTACTATAAAGTCCATAGCTATTTCTTCCCATGGGCGGCTGGGTTCAGCTACCTGTTGAAGCAAACCGGGAGGCTTCCCCGGTTGTGTTTTATTGCTGAAACATGTGGCACAACTTTTTACATAGTCCTCCACAGCAGCTTTCATCTTTGGCTACCAAAACTGCCGTCTAATCAGATGAAGGGTCTTTAGAAATCCAAAGTGACCAGCCAATTGAGAATCATGGCTACACTGGAGCACCAGGAGTCTTGTGCTGTTGGGGACATAAATTTTTGAACCTTTCCAAGCTAGTCGATCACGGGTCATCAAAGTGTCTCGATTGTCAGCTAGCCATGGATCAGTAGGTAGTGCTGCCTTCAAGTCGGCAGTTAGCTTCCCATCGATGGGATCAGTCCGCCTGCTGGCCCGACTCTGGATAGTGACTTACGCCACACTCTGCATGTCTGGGATAATGGCATGGATGACGTCCTCCCTCTGGCTGTCATATTGGGGTTTCCTTGAGAGGACATCTGCAAGCAGGTTCTTCCCCCCTGGGATGTATTTCAGCTGGAAATCAAACCGCTTGAAGTACTGTGTCCAGCGGACCTGTTTGGGGGAGAGCCATCATGGGATCTTTAAGGCTTTGAGGTTTTTATGGTCTGACCATACCTCAAAGGGGATCTTGGCTCCCTCTAGGAAGTGCCACCATGATAGAAGAGCCCAAACAGCAAAGGCTTCCTTCTCCCATACTGCCCATCTCTGATCAGTGTCTGTGAGCTTTTTGGACACATACGCGCAAGGAAGCAGCTGTCCTTGGGGGTCTTCCTGGAGGAGCATTGCTGCCACTGCAACATCGCTGGCATCAGCCTGGACAATGAGCTGCCTATCTGGATCCAGGTGCTGAAGGATGGGCTCCTCTGCAAACAGCCATTTCAATTTTTCAAACACTTTTTGACAGCTTAGCGTCCAGGCTAACGGCTGTGTCAGCTGTGGCTTTACAGGGGAGGGGCATATCTTTAGCAGTTTGGTAAGTGGCAGGGCCACTTTCACGAAGGCTGGGATGAATTGCTGGTAGAAGTTAGCAAAAACCAGGAAACTTTGCAGCTGTTTCCTGGTGTGAGAGGCCTGCCAGTCAAGTACAGCTCGCACTTTCCCAGAATCCATCTCTATGCCTTCATTCGACACTCGGTAGCCCAGGTAGTCCAGAGAAGTTTTGTGAAATTCACATTTGGACAGCTTCGCATAAAGTTTTGTGGCTAACAGTTTCTTTAGTACTTGTCGGACTAGTTTCACATGTTCTTCTAATGACTCACTGAATATGAGGATGTCGTCCAAGTAGACTAGAACCCCATTGTATAAATGCTCATGCAGCACTTCGTTAATCAATTGCATGAATACAGCAGGGGCTCCTTGGAGACCAAAAGGCATAACTTTGAATTGAAAGCTACCTAATGGGCAGTTGAAAACAGTCTTCCACTCATCTCCTTCCTTTATGCACACCCTGTAGTAGGCTTTTCTCAAGTCAAGTTTAGTAAACACTTTGCCTTTTGAAAGGTAGTTCAGTAGGTCTTTCATAAGGGGAAGGGAGTAGGTGTTTTCCACGGACACTATGTTTATCCCACAAAAATCCACGCAGAGCCTCATCCCCCATCTTTCTTTTCCTTAAACAGCACCAGGGCGGCTACTCTGGATTTTGCAGGTTGGATGAATCCTTGGGCTAGGTTAGTATCGATGTACTTCCTCAGCTCAGCCATTTCTTTAGGGGTCATTGAGTACATTTTTGGTTTAGGGAGTTTGGCCCCAGGCTCAACCTCAATTGCACAGTCAGTGTGGCGATGAGGTGGAGGGATGTTGCATTCCTCCTCACTGAATGCTTCAGCAAGGT